AGAGGCACTTTCAAAAAACGTGCTGCGTTGTGGTTTGGTGGTTTCTATGCAACGCAGAGTGTTGCGTTCATGGTCTGTAATAGTGTAGGAATTTGGCTACGGGAGGCTGGGCCACTCGGGAGTTGGTTCTGGGCCGCATCTGGCCCGCGGGCCGCCAGTTGAATAGCCCTGGTATACAGTATATCACAATACCTTATTTTTGAAGTTTAACAATATTATGAGTATTGCAAGTTATTCACTTATTTTATTTAAAAATTATTAATGCAAAAACATTTGCTACCTTTTTTAATCTGTAAATGTTATATTAATAATTTAAAAGACTGTGTGTGTGTGTGTGTGTGTGTGTGTGTGTGTGTGTGTGTGTGTGTGTGTGTGTGTGTGTGTGTGTGTGTGTGTGTGTGTGTGTGTGTGTGTGTGTGTGTTATATTGGGATATATCCTGTATTGATTTATTTCCCCTACTGTTGATGAAATGTTTTAAAGAAACCTTTTTTCTTTTTTAAGAGGTGACAAAGATCCTCCTGTGTGCAGCTCAGGCTTCACATCAGCTCGTCCCACCAGAGGTACATGTATATTTATCGTGTTAAAGCACACGCAGCTATCAGAATGATTCCAGTACAACTCTTCTCACACATTCCTTCCTGTTTAGGTCATTGAACCTGTTATCATGACCATCGCCAACAACTTTGTGACAGACAGAAACTCCGGGGAGGTCATGACTGTGGGGTAGGTAGAAGCCCTGGACACTTCTGATTTAATGTATGCATGGTTAAAAATGTGCAATATATCTGCAGTCATTTTGCAACTTCTAAGAAATACTTTACAGTTTTGGATTCAATTGTTACTCTTTTTTTGTTTCAAGTATCAATGCCATCAGGGAAGTGGCCGCCCGGTGTCCTCTGGCCCTCACTGAAGACTTGCTGCAGGACCTGGTTCAGTACAAGATGCACAAAGACAAGAGTGAGTGAATGTTTTTCTGACACAGGTGTACTTGAATCCCAATGCACCAAGTGAAGGAGGTGTAAATATATGTGCATGTTCACTCATGTTTTCTCTGTATTTCCGTTCAGATGTGATGATGTCTGCCAAGGGACTGATCCAGCTGTTCAGGAGTCTCAATCCACACATGCTGCACAAGAGAGACAGGGTGAGCAAGATGTTACTTTTACAACAAACAACACTCCTTTTAAAGAACTGAATGATAACTTCACATTCAGTAATAGAGTATAGTTACCTTTGCCAGAAGTTATGTTCTCGGTTGACTTTGTTTGCTTGTCATTAGAATTTTTTTGTATTTATTCATATACAGTGGGGCAAAAAAGTATTTTGTCAGCCACCAATTGACCTTTCGCAAAGCCACGCCCCCCCTTGGTTACTGTTGCTAGTCCGACAAGCTGAGAGCCAGATGCCAGGGCTCGAGCTTAAGGACGTCCCGTCGTCCCGGGGCCGAAAAAAATAGTGTCAGGGAGGATAAAAAAAAAATTTGGGACGAATTTGGGACGAGAGTTAAAATAAAAATACCCTGCTAACTCTACTACAAACGCAGATGAAAATGAAATCGACTGCACGTTGTGTGTAGCACAGCACAGTTATTAAACCTCCTTGTCAACATAAACACACAAAACATTTAGCAACCCGCGAAACAGACACACACACACACACACAGACACACACACACAGACACACACACACACACACAGTACGTAAGCTGTGCCCATGGCTGTCAGCCAGCCGCACAGCTGGCTGTGCCCGCGAATTCCTGACCCGCAAATTCGCGGGTCTATCTACAGTAGGCTATGTACTGAGTGTGTGTATTTCGCGGGTTGAGTGATGTAAAATGACAATGGTATCCCGTGGAGGAATTCTGAAATGTTTTACCGTTACATCACAAAAACGCACAGCAAAACCAGACCCCGGAGCGCCGGCCTCTTTATTTACTTACTCCTCTTCATCCCCTATGGGTAATAAGGCTGAGATGAGAACCCTCCATCGTATTTAGTCCTTAGCAATATGCTGCGCCTCTCCCCATGTATGGATGGGTACCGAGCCCCGGTATTAAATGGGCTCCGCCCGGGCCGGAATTATTAAAGACAGTGGTAACGTTAAGCTCCGACGTTATCTGACTTTTTATCGGTACTGGAGACATTTAAAAAATATATGTCATATGTAGTATTGCTACATAAACATTATATCGCAGTTTTAGTTTATCCAACTCCGTTTCTAATATGCAATAAGACTACAACATGCGTCTATGATGTATTTTCGAGCTTTCCAATCCAGACGAGATCTCTGTCTCCCGTCTGTGTGCGAGGGGGCGGGGCGAGTTTGTAAAGGTCTCCTGACTGTGTTACAGACTGTCATCCTGGTTAGTGGTTACTCTGGGTTCTGTCTTCAGGAAAGAGTGTTGGATTTTTTTGTTAATTTGATGGGACTTGATTTGATTCAATATTAGTAATTTTCTCGTTTGTGTGTTTGTTTAAATATATTTGGCCTTTGTCATGTGATTGACTGATTTACTCAAATAAAAAGGTTGATGACTTATCTCTAATGATTTTTTATTTATGTTAAAGGTCACTTTGAATGATTTTAACTAATGATAAGTAGTAGAAAAACTAATATTTTAAATTCGGGACGGTCCACATTAATTTCGGGACGGCTTAGATTGTATTTCGGGACGGTTCCGGGAGGATGGTGAAAAAAGTTAGTCGAGAGCCCTGGTCACAAGGATACATAGGTTAGAAAAAATAAATAACCGGTTGCTGGGTACTGTATTTTAGCTGAGGCCAAAGGCCCGGGTGAACAGGTGATGTTTGAGTTGTTTTTTGAAAATGTCCAGAGAGTCGGCATTCCTGATAGCAGAGGGGAGAGCATTCCAGAGGGTGGGAGCTGCGACACTGAAAGCCCTGTTGCCAAAGG